TACCTTTCTCACGTGAGACGATGAGGGCGCCTATTCATGACAGCTACACTGCAACAGTGGCAACAGCCGTCGCAACAGCCTATCCCAGGGGGCGAAATTACGTCACAAGATGTTCCAACCTGTCTAAGAAATGAAAATAGCTAAACTCGAGAAAACAGTACAAACTCAACTTCGAAGTAATCCTGAATTTTATATATGTTGCACACGCAGGTTAAATCTTGCTACACTGTTCAGTGGAGTCTCAAATACCCCAAAGAACAGTTTTCTGAAAGTTTTCGGCCTTTGTTTTCATCGCAATGGTTGCCAGGCGGTGAAAATGCTCGGATGTCCGCCCCTAAGAATTGACTACAAACCACATAATCACTTTTCTGTACATTTTCAAAACCAAAATTACATTATCGTGAGCATTATTTTAGTTTTATTCATTTATTTTACACCTATGACAAAAAAAGTAACAAGAACATGCAAAATCAAAACTAGAAACAAGATCAAATCTGAGTAGTGTATGAGGTTTCCGAGTCAAGAAAGAAATAACTTTTTATCGAACCTTGAAATAATATATTATTCACATCATTTTATCAAGTTTTGTGACAAATGTTTTTTAGTTAGTTTACCTAACATCATAGACCACAACGCCTAACCGCTAGACGATCACTATAAACTGGATTGCGCAATGATTCTTAGATTCCAATACGAAGACTACTCTTGCGAGCCCATTATGATTTGTTTATTCGGGACACTTTGGTACGATGTTTAGTGACACGGTCAAAATTTGCAAATTTTTTTTACTTCAAATAAATAGTTTTTTTAATTTAATATAATTTCAAAATATTATTAAAAGCAGACTTATCAGTGGATTAGTCACAGAAAAATATCAATGTTTAAAACAGCGGATACACGTAGTTATATTTATTTTATTGAGAACACACAACATCCTTCGGAAAAAAGAAGGGTTTCAGTTGTTACATTGTAAAACTAACAAAATTCTCACAATAAATTGATTAATTCTAATAAGCTAACAACTATTATTACTATTTCAAGATATCAACAATAACAAAAATACTACAAAATTACAACTATAAAATGGTCTAGAACTAGAATAATAACAAAAACAAAAGCAAACACAAAAACAAAAGAAAGACACGAATATGTACATATAAAGAGAGATGATCATAATAGTGTTGTTGCGTTAAATTTAGGGGTGGTGTTGCTATAATTTAATATATTGTGCCAAAGGGATAGACATTTTGATATTGTTTGATAACATAAAGAATTTGTTTTCATTTTCATTTTTCATCCATAAAAAGTGAAGTGGGAGTAAGCCTTATTATTTTTTACCCATGTGGAGGCCAATAGATCGCCTAAAGCAGATAGATAAATGACCATAATCGTTCGCATGACATCGGTTCTAAATATTACTAGTAGCTAAACGTAATTACTAGTACTCAGACAAATAACTAATACAGGAATATTAATTAAGGTAGCGAGATAGTTTTTTGGCATGGAAAATGTAAACATCTATAATCGGAGTAAATTTTACAAGAACCTATACAATCTATATATGTTTGGAAAGCCCTTGACTTGTACTTTTCTATTATTAATATTTTGTGAACACTGTGTTTGTTTTAGCGTCACGTGATTCTGAAAATCGGCGCGGCTGATAATTAACTAACGTGAATACATTTTTAAATGTCAGCTCTACGGTCATGCATGCGGCCAAAAACTTTACACTGTTTTGAAGCAAAGGTCATGAAGTTTAAATCCGTATTTCTATTTTTTAAATTAAGTTTTTTTTCTCTCCAAAAATGGAAAATTTCAAGCA